GGCGACTGATCTGCCTCGCCCGGGAAGAGCGCAATGATGGTGCCAACTTGGGCCAGTGAAGCAACGTCCTCCAGAACTAGACTGAAGAACACAACGACACGACAGCAACTTGTCTGTTCCCCTTCCCCCAATTCCCCAGCGCTGTTCCCATCCCCCCAATTCCCCAATAAAAATCTTTAAAAAAAAAATTAAAGGAAGATGTGGAGAAAGTCAAGAAAAATAGTGTGAACAAAATGGAAATATCAATAAAGAGGTAGAAAACCTCAGAAGAAAGCAAAAAGAAATCCTAGAGCTGAAAAGCACAATAACTGATAATGAAAAATACACTAGAGGTATTCACAGGCAGATTTAAATCAGCAAACTTGAAGATAGAACAATGCAAATTATCAAGTCTAAGGAACAGAAAGAAAAAAGATGTAAGCAAGTGAACAGAGCCTAAAGACCTGTGATACACCGTCAAGTGGACCAATATATACAATCGTGGAAGTTTCAGAAGGAGAAAAGAAAAAGAAGCACAGAGAATTTTTTAAGAAACAGTGGTTGAAAACTTTACAAATTTGATTAAAGACATGAACATAAACATCCAAGCTCAACAAACTTCAACTAAGAACTCAGACTCACACCGAGACACATTATAACCAAACTTTCAAAAGCCAAAGACAGAGAATCCTGAAAGCAACAAAGAGAAGCAAATCATCACATACAAGATCACAAGATTTCTCATCATGTACTTTGGAGGCCAGAGGAAAGGGGGGCTGATACATTGCAAGTGTTAAAAGAAAAAAACTGTCAACCAAGAATCATATATCCAGCAAAAATATCCTTCAAAACAGCGAGGGAGAAATTGAAACATTTCCAGATAGACAAAGCTGAGCGAGTTAGTGACCACTAGATCAGCCATACACAAAATACTCAGGACAGTCCTCCAAGGTGAAAAGAAAGGAGACTAGACGGTAACTTGAAGCCATATAGAGGGGAAAAAAGATCTCAATAAAGGTAAAAACATGGGCAATTATAAAAGCTAGTATTATTATAACAATGGTTTGTAACTGTGCTTTGTTTTCTACATGATTTAAGAGACTAAAAAATTTTAAGGGGAAAAACAACAATCATTAGTGTAAAACCTAGTGTTACTGTTAACTCTGATTTATAACTCCAAATCTTATTTTCTATATAGTTTAAGAGCCTAATGGATTTAAAAGATTATTAGTTTATGTTTTGGAGCACACAATTTATAAAGATATAATTTTGTCACATCAACAACCAAAAGAGGAGGAGTGCAGCTATAAAGGAGTTTGTGTGTTACTGAAGCTAAACTGGTATGAATTCAAATTAGAGTTATAACTTTAGGATGTTAAATGTAATCCCCATGGTAACCACAAAAAATATAGCTATAAAGAATATACAAAGGGGCCAGCCGAGTGGCGCGTTGGTTAAGAGCTGGCGTAGGACACCAGCTCTGAGCAGGAGGGCCCCGGTTTGGATCCCACATGAGGGCCAGTGACACTGCACCCTCTACAGCTAAGATGGTAAAGAACAGCTCAACCTGGAGCTGGGCTGCCGTGATACGCCGGCGATGGAGTAGGCTGCAATGGGGCTGGCTGCAGCTGGCGTGAGCTTTCGTGAGCTGCCATCCAATGGCCGGCGAGGGACTGCCTCACCCAGGAAGAGCACAATGATAATACCAACATGGGCCAGTGAAGCGACATCCTCCACAACTAGACTAAGGAACAAAAGGACAGCAACCTGTCTGTTTCTCTTCCTGATTTCCCAACATTGTTCCCCTCCCCCAATTCCCCAATATAATCTTTAAAATAATAATAATAATAATAATAATACATAAAAAAGGAAATGAAAAAAGGATTTTTAAATTTTACTATATTAAAAAAAAAAATCAAGAGCCAGCTAAGTGGCTCAGTAGATTAAGAGTTCGCTCAACAGCGTGAGCTCTGAGCAACAGCGGTTTGAGCCCCACTCGAGCTGAGCTGCCAACAGGTGGCAGGATGGCTCAGCTTAAAAATAAATAAAATAAATAAATTTAAAAAATCAACCAAACACAAGACAATCATGCAGAAAATGAAGGACAAAAAAAACTCTTGAGGCATATAAAAAATAGATAGATTAATGACACAAGTCCCTCCTTATCTGTAATTAAGTGTAACTGTATTAAATTCTTAATGAAAAGATAAAGAGTGCTAGAATGGATAAAAACACATGATCCAACTATATGCAGTCTACAAGCACTGAGATCCAAAAACCCAAACAGGCTGAAAGTGATAGGATGGAAACAGATATACCACATAAAGAGTAACTAAAAGAGAGGAGGGTAGCTATACTCTATCAGACAAAATAGATTTTAAATCAAAAAAGGTTTCAAGAGACAAAGGATATTCTATATATTTTTTAAAAGGCTTAATACAGCAATAAGATATAACAATTATAAACATTTACATGCCTAATGACAGGCCATCAAAATATATGAAGCAAAACCTAACAAAATTGAAGGGAGAAATAGAGTTTTATAGTAATAGTTGGAGACTTCAATACCCCGCTCACCATAATGGATAAACAACCAGACAGAAGATAGGAAACAGAAGACTTCACAAAGAAACTACGTAGATCTAACGACATATACAGAACACTGTATCCAAAACAGCAGCATACACATTCTTCTCAAATGTACTTGGAAGATTTTCCAAGACAGACCATAATATTGGCCACAGAGTAAGTCTCAATAGATTTTAAAACATAAATATACGAAGTATCTTTTCTGAACACAACAGGATAAAGTTAGAAACCAGTAACAGAAGGAAAATTGACAAAATTGTAGAAATGAACAAACTTTTAAACAACCAATGGATCAAAGGAGAAATCAAAAAAGGAATTAGAAAATACTTTGAAACAAATGAAAACGTATACCAAAACACACGGGATGCAGCAAAAGCAGTGCTTAGGGAGAAATTTATAGCTATAAATACTTACATTAAAAAAAAAAAATGATACCAAAACCAAACAAAGACACTACAAAATACGAAAATTACAGTAGATCACACAGCATGATCAAGTGGGATTGATTTCAGGAATGCAAGGATGATCAGTTCCTGCAAATCAATCACCATAATACACACTACCAAAACAAAGAATAAAAATTATGTGAATCTCAATAAAAACAGAAAAGCATTTGACAAAATACAACAACCATTTATGATAAAAACTCTCAAAAAGTGGGAATAGAAGAAATTTATTTCAACATAATAAAGGCTACATATGACAAACCCACAAACATCATACTCAACAGTGAAAAGCTAGCTACAAGCTTTTCCCCTAAAATCAGGAATAAGGCAAGGATGCCCACTCCACTTTTATCC